GAGAGCATCTACTAAAGCATCTTGGTCCACTACCAAGCCTATGACAAGAAAAGTAGTTCTCAAACAGGGCTGCTTCTCTTTAATTGGATTGCTTTGTTCCAGCCTATTACATTACCTCTGCTAATGTTGATAAAGGTGCTATTGGGTTTCATCAAGGCAAACTCTTTGGCACCAATCAGTTTGTGTGTCTGAGGGGACAGATTGACCACCACCATGACGAAGTCTGACCTCTGTAACAACTCCTTCATGCTTGCGAAATATGTGGCCCCAACTGCTCTCTCATCACTCTCAGGCCTGAACATATAAAACACTGTAAAATTCAATTTAAGTGTTACAGTTAGCCAATCTAAAATGAAAAAGTCCTGACCACAACCCATAGGCCTTGTATAGAAGCTTGATAATTACATTTTATCCCAATCACAGACTAAATATGTAACCTAGCTGAAAGGCACCATTGTAATTTCACACTTAATTCTGAAAGGAATTTTTTGCAATATTGACAATATATGTTCATACAATACCTTTCAAAAGTTTGGGGTTGGTAAGATTTTTTTAATGTTTCTGAAAGTCTCTTACACCAAGACTGCATTTATTTGATCAGAAATACAGCAATATTGTGAAATACTATTACAATTTAAAATATCTGTTTTCTATTAAAATATATTTTAAAATGTAATTTATTCCTGTGACGGTACAGCTGAATTTTCAGCAATACTCCTGTCTTCAGTGTCAAATTAATTCATCAAATTAATTCATCTTTGAATAAAAGCAAGGTAAAAAAAAAAAAAGAGAAACCGACTGACCCCAAACTTTTGACCAGTAGCCTAGTGTACATCAGTGACTTTATAAATATTTTAATGCAAAGGCTAACCACTTCCTACAGAAAAATGTACATAAAACTGATAGTTTACATATTACTCAAGCTGGTGAGAAGTTGTTTAGTGACAGTGTGAATATTTCAATCAAAGTCCAACAGATTCACCTTCGATTCCTATTGTGGTAAAGGATTTTCGTCTCAAACATTTCATCTTTGTATTCTATTCTACCCATGCCGATGATGCCCAGGGTGGCCCCACTAACATCAGTGTCTAGAGAGGAATTTTGGAAAATCATCAGACTCCCGGAACTTTGAAAAATTGTGTCCTGCATAGAACAAGAAATTCACAATGGATTCACTGAACAATATGATTAACTAGAAAGAAATTCTAGAAAGGAAACTGCAGCCCTCATCTTCAACTATCTTCCTTGCAGATGCCAACATCAAACTCATGCCAATATCCGCAGTGGCATTATCCACCACATGAGGAGTGTTGGAAACTTTGACTCCAAATCTATTGATCAGAGGATTATCAAGGTGGTCTACTCCTTTGAGGTTAGACAAAGACTTTAACAGGTTTTGATCAACTTTAATAACGCCACCCCACACAAACAATGCCTGGATTTTGTCAGCGAAGTCGGCTTTCCTCTGTACAAACCACTCCATATGGGATTATAGTGAAGTGTTTCTCGATACAAGGTGCAAAACACTATGCCTCGGGGCACTCCAAGTGTGGTAGCTAATATGCATGGTTTCTCCATAACCTGTGAGCAAATTAGCCCGTGCTGGCATAAAACAGCAATAACTATGTAAATAAAGCAACAGACTAAGGCATTAGTCTTTCAACTTCTTAGGCTATATAAAATAACATTCTTCTCACCACCTGTGTGACAGTCTATCGTAGTCTGAATGTTCCCAGGATAAATCATGTGCAACATTGTACTTTATATTCCGGACATTGTTAATCAAGTAGGCCTACCGATTAAGACTAGAGGTGGCTTTCTGCAAATCATATAACCGTTCAGCCTTAAACATTTTTTTTTTTTTTTAAATCAGTCGACTGTCAAAAAACAGAAACCTACTTCGAACTGTTTACAAATCGGCTGTTGTCACGTTTCATCATCGGGAGTTTGATAGTTGCTTGTTACTCAATAACCAGAAGGGGTCGTTAGAAGCTCATGAAACTCATGAAATTAGTTGCATTTCTGTCACAGATTGAGTAAATATGAAGTTATTTGATGGACGTGCTTCGTGTTTTTGGCTATTATTTCCAGATTTGATTTTCTATTAATGGTATGATTTCCTTTGATCACAAGCACTTTATAATGAAGGATTTATGCTTTGCTTTGACAACATCTTTGGTATTGTGGTTTAGCCTATTGTTCATTTTGTATGTTTCAGAGTAGATTAATTAATCCAACTAAAAATATCAAATCTTATCATATATTTCGTCAAAAACTCCCTCACATTTACAAACTCTTTGAATGCCATAGTTTTATGATTCTATAACACTTAAATTGTGCTGTTCAACCAACCACGTGAAGAGTGAATTTGCTACAAAAAAAGAGACAATTTTAAGGCCTAAAATTAAATGATGGAGGCTTTGACGGCTCTGAGGGACATTGCATTAATTCCAGAACCATTAGTAGATGGCTTTTAATGGCTGCAGCAGAGCTCCAGCTTTGCCTCCATCTGTTTGAAAATTCACATGTAGAGGTTCAGCATCAGAAATCAACTATCAAATAATTCAATATAATGAAACCCTAGCAAGTACATGTTTTCATTTCCACTAAAAAGGACACTAAATGCATTCTTGAGCTATTATGTATTGTCTTAACAAACAAAATGAGTCATAATTTGTTCATTTACTGGATATAATACAATGATGCCTGGTGGATTCATGTTGAACACCCCAAATCCATCTGCTACAGTTGAAGGTATGCCACAATAAAGGTTCACAACAACCATATCTGAGTGATTCTTCGCCACACACACATTGTATATGTTCAGCCTATTAGTTTTTGATGACAGTAGATAAATAATCCAAAGAAATTGGATAGTCATAATACCTTGTTATATTAATACATTAATTTAACATCTGACCAACTCTTCAAGTAAACAACGCATATACTGTGGATCTACTGAAGCAGATCCATCTCTACCAACTTGAATTGTGTCGTGTCTTTGTATGAAAACTATACTTCCTTGAAAGTTTGCTTGGTTTGGCAATCAACCAAAAATATTTTCTGTTCTGCTGACTTCTCTTCAAAGTCTAGTGCTTCACAATTAGCCTACATCTCTGCCCTGGGGACGGGCATGTTTTAAAGTGATGAACTGATAGCAGGGTGGCCCATTATTAGTAGTGAATTACAGCATTCATATTCTACTTAAAACCCTATTTTTAGAACAAAATGGGAGAAAATATACTTGTTTTGCTCTTGTTTTGCAGACTTTAACAGGCTCATGTGATTTAACAAATCTAAGGGTACTACAATGTTCCTTTTTTAACTCAATGGACAAGAACATTGTAACAGCCATCAGCCATATGCTCATGAATTCCAGTGCATCCTAATGGATTCAGTGACTGTGATCTCACTTAAAAGTCCAGAAGTGTGATATTATAAAATATAAAACACATCTTAAACAATTTATTTTCTCTCGTGGCTCTTTGTACAGTGGTCTAATCATTTGTACCCCAAAACCATTACCAACTTCATTCAGTTTGCTTTTCCTATCTTTGGCATGTACAACTCTAGCCACAATCTCTGGCGTAATGAAATGGGCATTTGTGCTGTGATATGCCCCTGATACTTCTTGAGGTTATTTTTAACGCTGTTCCAATTAAAGAGGCCTATCTGCCCCCAGGCTCAGGCTGAATGATAACCTTCCTCCTGGTAGAAAGACAAAGAACAGACTTCAGCAGATCTTAAGCCGCACAATCACAGGAATATCCCATCTTGCACTTTTTTCCAGCCGCCCAAAAAAGTAAGAAAATATAATTCTAAAACCAAAGTTTCAAGAGATATTGCAAAACAATATATAGCTAAAACTGGAAAACTCAGGAAAACGGGAAAACTCAGGAACAGCCTGAACAGTTTTCTAAGCATTATGGAGATGACACATTTAACTAACCAACCAATAACTAAATATTTAAATCTCTAATTTTCTTTTCTTTATTTTTCTAAATTTTATCCTTCTGCTCTACGTTATTTTTGTAACTCGGCAGCACATTGTTGGCTCTTCTATAATAAATTGCTTGTGATTGACCTCATTTGTAAATCGCTTTGCATAAAAGTGTCTGCTAAATGAATAAATGTAAAATAACTGAATATGATGCTTTTTGTAGCAATTTTCCCTGTTGTCTAATTCAAATGAATGACACTCATAACATTTCACACTGTAATGGGGAAGAATACTCCATCAGTTTTATCCCCATAAACTGGGATTGCTGATCAGGGTGTTTATTTTTAGAAATAATCTCTGGATTATCACAGAGAGGGGTTTGCTATAATCCTTAAAGACTCCTTGATTTCACCAACATTGGCATAGGAAAACGCATTCTGGGCCGTGGGTTTCCAAAACTAGCAACTGTTATCATTTTATTTAAAGCTGTTTATAGGGTATAACGCATATATGGGTTTGCATGTGAATTGTAAGGAATGTTTTTGTAGGTTCATTTTTTTTTTTTGATGCCATCAGTTAGAAATCATTTTAATGTTAAATTGACACTTTCAATCTGACTTTTGCATTTTGACTCTTGATCAAGATGCATGAAAATGATTGTTATTATTGTTTTAATTCTGCATTTTATTTTTCATTGTTTGCAAACTGATGATATTGTTCTAATGTAATTTACGAACATGTGAAACACCTAAGCTTCATGACAATTCTAATAACATGCAAAAGATTCCAAAAGTGTTCCAAAAGAATTTATGAGCTAAAAAACCGCAATATCCTTTTTAGTCGTTTTTTTTTAATCATGCATCTTGGTTTCTCTGCACTTTCTTACAATTAGCTCAGTCTAAAAATACTTCGTGATAAGATTTATAATTCAGATGGCTAAAAGACATTGAGACGTTAAAAGGCACAGATTTGTGCCATGTTTCGAGACGGGCTTTTCAAATGTACCGCTAAACGTGCTGATGTTGAATGATAGGAGGCAGCCTCCTCTGAAAGACGCCACTAGGTCGCAGTAACATCGGTGCCATTGAGTTCACACAATATGAGGGAACACAGCGGCAGCCAAAACCCAACTCTAGATTTTTCAAATTGGTGTGCTTGACTGTTTTAAACCCGCATAATGTAACAATAAACGAAACATTACAACCTTCGGGAATGGAAGCCAGAAGCTGGCTTTTATTTTGACTGCAAGAATGTGGTGCGGGGAGCCCTGACAATACGCCGTTTAGCTTTCAAATGGAAGATTGGCTACTCCAGCTCATTTCGGTGGATATGTTGCCGTTGTTTTTTTTACACAGACCCTTTCTAATCGGCATGGATCTTGGGATTTGGATTCTTTTACCTCTTTCGTGTATTGAGCTGTGAAAAGAAGACAGGCTACGCCGATCGACCGGGATACAACATTCTCTGCCTACCTCGACATTTTGCTACCAGGGATTTAAATAATCACGTGCTACAACAACGGAAAGATTTTATATATATATATAACCAGAATTGATGTGGCCGTGTGACCTTTAATGAATTCAATCTGGAGGGCAAAATGAGTAGGGAAAGGCCGAAGAGAAATATCATTCAAAAGAAATTTGTAAGTGCAAATTTGATGTTTAATACATCCATTCGATGGAGGTTACCATCGAATTCAGTGGCAGCTGCCTCTTAATTTGCATTAATCACATCACTGTTGTGCCCCGTGTTAAGTTATCATCAGGTTTGTGACAGAATTAGGTCAGATGTTAAAAACGACCAGTCCATGAACCATCTTCTGTTTGAATTAGAGGTTAAAGACAGGCTGGCCGATCTGTATCATGCTGTTGACCCAAATAATGCTTTGGGCTTTTGAAGTAGGCTACCTTGTTACGTTTCGCATTTCCGGTGTCTGTGACATGTTACTGTGTTCAATTCCAGTTTTGTCTAGTAGCCCCAGTCGATGTAGACTCGCGACACTAGCGTGGTCAGTTTGTGGTCGTGTGTGTGTGTGTTTGCGGTCATCATACTGTGAGTGTGTGTTTGGTTTTTCAATGTCACGAGAACTTAGCTTGTCAAATCGTGGGCAGATGCTTGTATTGTGGTAAAGGCTGAGGTAGTTTACAGCCTATCTCTAACCTCCTGCTAGTTAGATGGTGTAAGCAGACAGACGTCTTTATTATATATATAAGATATATGCCAAGACTGTCCCTCCTATCCCTCCTGCCGTCATTGTATAAGATGTGTCTGTTTTAGTCCAATCGAGTCACGATATGATCAAACTCATCTCCTAGTGAGGTACTAGGGTTATTTTCTCTTGTTTGGCCCATTACCTAAGTAGCTAATCCTGATCATTGGCGTTCAAACCAGAGGTATTATAGTTAACTACAACAAAATCTGTTAAAAATAAGGGTTATTTGAAATAATATAAACGTTAACTGAAATAAAATGCGTATTTACTATAAATAAATAGAAATGAAAATAGTATGATATAAATAAATAAAATACTAACTTATTTTCAGGTAGTTGCAACGGCAGCATTTCTCAGTTTAATTTAGCTTAATGTTATGTACTAAAACTGAAATAAAAATGAATAAAACTATAGACATGAAAAAAAAAACTAAACTTAAACTAAAATAAAATAAAATGGAAAATATAAAAATAAGAACTAATTCAAAATGTGATTAAAAAATATAATGGCATGTCAACTAAAATAACATTTGATAGATCTGAATTTGTGTTAAAGGGTTAGTTCACCCAAAAATGAAAATTAGCTTGTGTTTTATTTACCCTCAAAGCATCCTAGGTGTATATGACTTTCTTCTTTCAGACGATTCCAGTCTGAGCTATATTAAAAATGGTCTTTGATCTTTCAAACTGTTTAATGGCACTCAGCGGGTGTTGCAGTTAAACAGTCCACAAGTCGTCAAATAAAGCTCGCGCATTCATAATAAAACGTGCCACAGACGGCTCCGGGGGATGAATAAAGGCCCCCTGTAGCGAATCCATGAGTTTTTGTAAGAAAAATATCCATATTTCAAACGTAATAAACACTTCTCTCACTTCCGTTATTTATCATACACGGATCCGTTCCGGCGGAAGGCGTATGACGCATGCGCAGCGCGCGTGCCTCTGAGATATGCTACTCTCGCGAGTTTGTTTAATAGGAGCAAAGGAAGCAAAGTTTCCTTACTTTAGCAAAGGAAAACCAGTCTCCTCTTGGTTTATATCGAAATCCGCCGACATTTTTCTTTGCAAATCTTCGGTTTGTACTTCTAATTCGTGACCGGCATTTTGTTTTGTTCTCTCTTTTCGCATTCGTCACTAATCACGCAACGCCGCGTGCCTCTGAGATATGCTACTCTCGCGAGTTTGTTTAATAGGAGCAAAGGAAGCAAAGTTTCCTTACTTTAGCAAAGGAAAACCAGTCTCCTCTTGGTTTATATCGAAATCCGCCGACATTTTTCTTTGCAAATCTTCGGTTTGTACTTCTAATTCGTGACCGGCATTTTGTTTTGTTCTCTCTTTTCGCATTCGTCACTAATCACGCAACGCCACGCGTCTTGCGTCATCTGCCGGAACTGCTTCAGTGTATGACAGTCAGCGGAAGTGAGAGAAAAGTGTTTATTACGAATGCGCGAGCTTTATTTGACGACTTGTGGACTGTTTAACTGCAACACCCGCTGAGTGCCATTAAACAGTTTGAAAGATCAAAGACCATTTTTAATATAACTCAGACTGGATTCGTCTGAAAGAAGAAAGTCATATACACCTAGGATGCTTTGAGGGTAAATAAAACACAAGCTAATTTTCATTTTTGGGTGAACTAACCCTTTAAAGTTCCCTGTAATTTAAAGTAGTAAAATGTTCAGGTCCACATGCATTATTTCATTTGTGTACGTGTTGTATTTATTTCAAACTATTAAAATTTTTAATTGTTTGATTTGTGTTTTTTAAGAATAAATGAGAAATAGCTTAGACATTGAAGACCTATTACTTAAACTTGCATCTATACCAGAGGTTGTCAACCTTTTACCTCCAATGCCCCTTTTGTCCACAAACAATATCTGAAGGCCCTCCTCAATGGTATATTCTTTATAAAATGCTTATGACATTTTAGTAATTTAAATGACTTTTCCAGGTCTAAAAATTATACTTAAAATTAGAATACCTCATATATCCAGGTTTTTCAAGATGTGTGGGGACAGTTGGAAGCAGTTGGAACCCAGGTTCTTCAAAGAAAAAAAAGCTGTTGAGCGGTTGAATTTAAAGACATTTCTTTATTTTAGGTATTTCATCTTATTTTAATTGTATTTTGCCTTATTTTAAATACTTTTAAGTCACCTTGAGTTCCCCTTGGATGTTTGCTGCTGCCCCCTAGTGTGCCCCAGACCCCTGCCAATCTATATCCCTTTGAATATAAACTTATCTGGGAAACATTATAATCCATCTTGGGTGTAAGGAAACAGGCTCAGGACAAAATGCTGACATACATTTCTAGATTCCAGCAAAAAAGGAAAAGAAATGGAATAACAGCAAAGTATTCAAATTTATGATCTGTTATTCTTTGAGGGTTACCATTTCTTTCAGTTGCTGTCTGATTTCTTTGTTTCCATCAATTCTCTGATGTTTAATTGCCACATGGCTTGAAGTACAAGCTCTGAACATTGAGTTTGGTTATATGAGGCTGGGAATTATCAGTAGCTTCTTTGTGTGGAGCTCTCTGCTTTGGCTTCAGTTGGTATTCGCTGTAATTCATTGCAATCCTGCGGATCAAATACACCTGTCGTTTAGATGTTTAGATATGTGAACGCACTAGCACAGACACACTTATACTGAACATCAGTCAGAGTTCAATGTGAAGGTAATTTTATGAATAAACCTCTACTGTGTTTGAAAATGTAAGGCTATGAAAATAAATAGCACATTGTGCATATTCTCTTGCCAAACCGGATATGGTTGGTTATTAAATCAACAGAGGGATCAAGAGATTTCTGATTAGAACTGCATGAATCAGCAGCAAAGTTGATATGTCACTTTCCATTGTAAACCGGCCCGTATTTACATAGTAACTCCTCTGTTACAGTTCCCATTATGCCATTTGAACTCATTCTTTCTGTTTAAGAATATTACACAATGTCATTCAGGATTAGGTGAGGTTACAGAACACATTATTACTGGGGATTATTGTAAAATGATCAAAGTGTAGTGTAAATGAACAGGCTGCAGAAACGAGGAAGGCTGTAAGAAATCGCGTTTCACGCTTTCTCCCGAGCACCATATGTGAAAACAAATCTATTTAATGTGACAACATCAGAGAAATTGGCAGATATATATCGCTCTGTGTTTATAGTGAGCACAGGCCTGCTGCACGTGACAGAGATGGCCATCTAAACTGGAAGCTCTTGTGTCCCACACATTTTCTTTGGCCTCAGCAGTCAGAGATATTTGATATATACGTTTAGCTCCTTTAGACTCATCCTTAGCATCAGTTTGCTTCACACAGTAACAGAGAACTAAAGCTCTTTTAATCTAGAAAGTGTTGACTGTTATTGCAAATCTTGAAGAACTGGTTTAGTGGGGTAGCTTAACTGATAAGAAGCCAGGCTGTTAACTCAAAAATTTTAGGTTTAATCCCAAATAAGGGTGATGAAAATCTATTTCAGTTATAATCTAACTGTATTTTAATTTATGATTTATTTCATTCTCGTTTTAAACTTTTGGTCCTCATCCCTGTAACTGACAGAGACATTATGGGCCTTTAATTTGTCACAATCTGTTTTCACTTCAGTCACTGGATTGTTTTTTATGTCTCAGTGCAGATTGGGGGTTTTGGTCTGCGTTCGTATGATATATGATTCCTAATGAGGTTTGGAATATAGGGCCTGAGGAAATATTTGGTCACTTTATATTACAGTGTTTATTTTACTTTGTATTTACACAAGTAATGAATAATTCTAATGGACTACATGCACTTGCTGTGTAATTATTTTGTAGAGCTGACTGTTATTATATTAATTATAGTAACATGCTTATATGAGATGCTTGCACTGTAAAATGAAGTGTTAAATAAGGTCAAATTGGTGCTGCAACAGTAACAACAGAATTGACATGTTAGATGTCATCAATTCATCATATTGATCTCATTGTTTCACTTACAATTGAATGTTTTCATGAATTTGAGTGCTTATTATGACACTATCCTATAAAATATATATACTTTTGTTCTGCAAGTATGCTTGAAATTGATCAAAAGTGAAAGTAAAGACATTTATAATGTTGCAGAAAAATTCTATTTCAAATAGATGCTGTTCTTTTCAACTGTCTGTTTATCAAAGAAGCCTGAAAAAAAGTATCAATGTTTACAGAAAAATATTAGGCAGCACAAGTGTTTTCAACATTGATAATAACTCAAGTTTCTTGAGCACCAAATCAGCATATTAGAATGATTTCTAAAGGATCATGTGAAACTGAAGACTAAAGTAATGATTGAAGTTATATATGTTATATATATATATATATATATATAGAGAGAGAGAGAGAGAGTG